AAGTGCATCTGACAAGATTGAACACCATTTCATGATTAAAAACACACAACAGGGGATATAGCTCAGCAGCACAAGCGCCTGCCTGGCAAGAGTAAGGTCGTGAGTTTGATTCCCAGTACAAAATAAATAAACAAATAAAATGTTTAAAAGATAAAATAAAATAACAAATAAATAAAAACACTCAACAAACTGGGAGTAGAAGTAAACAGTCTCAATGTAATAAAGGCCATGTATAAAAAGCCCACAGCTTTTCGTATCTCATTCAATAATGAAAGATGAAGGCTTTTCCTCTAAGGTCATGAATGAGACAAGGTTAGATGCCTACTTTTGCCAGATGTATTTCACATGCTACTAGAATCCAAAACAGAGCAATCAGGCAAGAAAAATAATAATAATAAAACTTCTCCAAATTGGAAAGGAAGTAGTAAAATGAAGTCAGCTTGGATGGCCTAATCTTATAGGTAGAAAATCCTAAAGACTCCAGATCAGCCAAGCCTCACTAATTCCTGGGGAACGGTCTCCTACAGGATGACCACACGTCTCCTGAGATGCCTGCTCACCCCTGCTGTGCCCACAGTCCCAGCTGCCACAGGGTAGGGGACAACACGAGGCATGGTGAGCTCATGTCCTGGGGTGGTGGATCGTCATCAGGTGGAACCACGTCCTCCCCACACCAGGCATCAGAACGGACCACCCAAACCAGTGGTGTGCAGACTGATTCAAACAGAACTGCCCTGGGATGGTTTGGCCTGAAGGAGAACCAGGGAGAAAGTGAGGAGCTCAGCTTCAGTGGAACAGCCTGGTCCCAGCCACTTAATTCAGCACTTTGTGCCTCAGTTTATCTATTTGTAAAAGAGACCCTGCTCCCAGGCCCCACATGCATGAGCTTGAAAGGACACATGAAACAGTAGTGGCCCCCAATACTCTCAGTGCCTTTCCCACACATGCACCAAGCACAGACGCTAAAGGTACTAAAGGTTTTAAGTCTAATTCAGCCTCAGTTATATTTTATTAAACCCCTTTTATGAAGACAGAGTCTGTAGTAGGATGGAAGGAGATTCTGCCCAGGAGCAGTTCCTTTCTAGGAGTGGATCCAGCCCTCCTTCTCCTCTCCCTGGCCCAGTGCCCCTATAGGCCCTGTGGGAATGGGAGCTTCATGACAGGCCTAGGGCACCTCATGTGTTCTCTGAGAGATGGATGACTTCCTGACCAAGAAGTGTGCTGGATTACATCCTTAACACTTCCATGGTGCCTTCCCTTCATTATTTCCAGCTTTCTTCTAACTAATTTTTCATGGTGCAGAGTCTGGATCTGCTGACTTGATAATGTACCTGCGTGTACCCCTAAATTAGTATCCCTCATCTACCTCATATAGATTGGATCTGGAGCCGGATGTGGTGGTGCACGCCTGTCATCCCAGCACTCAGGAGGCTGAGGCAAGAGGATTGTTGTGAGTTCGAGACCAGTCTGGGCTACAAAGTGAGCTCAAGGCCAGCCTGAACTGCATAGTGAGACCCTGTCTCAAAAACACAAAAAGCAAAACAAGCAAAAATAGACTGGATCTGGAGTATCCCCCAAAGGCTATGTGTTAAAGGCTTGGGACCTAGCATGGTACTCCTGGGAGGTGGTAGAGCCTTAAAAGGTGAAGCTTAGTGGGAGGTCTTTGGGTCAGTGGGGTGTAGCTTGGAGGGAACTGAGGGATACAGCCCCTTCTCCTTTCTCTCTTTCCATTCCTGGCCATGAGATGAGTAATTTTACTCTGTCACATACTGCTGCCAAGATGCATCACCACAGGACCAAAGCCATAGGACCAACTAGTCATGGACTGAAACTTCTAGAATTGTGAGCCAAAAGAAATTGCCTATCTTTGTAAGTTGATTATCTTGGATAGTTGTCATGATGGAAGGCTGACTAAAACAGGATGAGGCACAGTGCCCTGGGCTTCTGCACCAATGCTTTCTCCAAGGACCCCCTGGTGTGTGGTGAAAGGTGTCCTAACTTTATACCCCAAAGTAGAGAAGACAACCTTTTCTCATTAGTGATGCAAGCATCCAAGTCTTCCTATTACAGACATAGACCTTCCCCAGACTTAAGTGGGTGAGCCTGGGGATCCAGAGTTTTCCAGTCATTTCTTTCCCATATTCTGACACCTGTCTGTATTTATTAGTACATATTTGCTGTATATGCTGATTACATTCCTTGTGGGGAGTTGGTACATGTATATAACACATCTTAATTCTTTTTACTAGCCCTCCTGTCCCTCCCCTCTCCTTCTATCTCTGGTTCTCCTTCCCATTTGTAGGGGATCTATTCCTTTGTTTTGTATTACTTATCTTTTATTTTGCTCTTTAAATTATTTATACTTTAGGCTTCTCACATAAGAGAAACCATGCGATATTTGTGCTTCTGTGTCTGATTTATTTCACTTAACATTATGGTTTTAGGGTGCATCCATTTTCCTACAGATGACTCATGTTTATTCTTTTTTATGATTGAGTAGTACTCTATTGTATGTAAATACCACATTTTCTTTATCTATTAATTTGTTGGTAGACATATAGGCTGCTTCCAATACTTAGCTAGTATGAGTTGTGCTGCTATAAACATAAGTATGCATGCATTACTATGTAGTATGATGTCTATAGTCTGATACTTTGACATTTGGGCCTTGCTGGCCCTGCAGAGACATCCCTTCTCTCCCAAGGCCAGCCAACTCATAGAGATAATAAAAGACTCACCTCTGGTCATATTTTTCAAATGCAAACCAACTGTTATGGTATGCAGGGTCAAAGCTGCAAAAGTGAAAGACTGCCTTGAGAAGAGAGCACTAGGGTACTCTGCTGTGTAGAGATTTGATTCACAGTGCTCATCTATCCAGGCATGCAAAAGACAGCTGCAGCCATGATTCAAGGAGGACTGACTATTGCTTAACAGACCTTGGCATTGTTCGCATGGTGCTGCTTTTACATATACGCAGAATGCAAGAGTTGTGGGGTCAGGAGGGCTTTCATCCAGATTTCAGAAGGCCTGGGAGACCATGTAGTTCATGCCTGGCAAGCTTCATGCACTGACAAGGCAGTGCTTGAAGCTGTGAGAATGAAGCTGAAAGTGCAGTGGAAACTCCCAAAAGTTGGAGAAGCCAGGAAAGTATAATGTCTGCTGAAAAACCGAAGGCAGTGGTCAGAGCCAGCACAAGAGAGACTCCATGAGAGTTAGAATCACCAGCAACACCACAGGGGTAGGACTGACCAAGCTGTTTGAAGTTTGCTGTTAAGCTTTGCACAGTGGTAGTACTGTCGGCTGAGGCATGATTATTGCTAATTGAAGTTTGCAGTTCACCACAATTTGCTATGGGTGCTGGACATAGAGCTACAAGATTTAATGTTTGCTTTGCTGGGTTTCTGCCTTAAGTTAGTCCCATAGGTATTATCCCTCTGATTCTCTCTTTTGGAATGGGAATGTTTATCTTGTACCATTGTACACAGGCAGTGTTAAATCTTTTTGATATTTACAGGAGCTCACAGCTAAGAGTTTGCCTTAAGTCTCAGAGGAGACATTGGACTTGGACTTTTCAGCAATGCTAAGACAGTTAGAACTTTGATAACTCCTAGAGATAAACTAAATGCATTTTTCATAAAGGGATCCACATGAGCCTTCTGGGAGCCAGAGACAGAATGTTACAGTTTATGTCTAGATGTTCCCCAAAGCCTCATCAACCATAGGTAGTGCTTTTAGGAGGTGAATGGATCATGGCAGTGCTATATTTATCTATGGATCAGTCCACTGATGGGTTTATAGCTAAATATTCTGTTAAGAGGTAGGGCCTGGTTGGAACAGGCAAGTGACTGGGGGCATGACTTGGAAGGGTTTATCTACCCTACAGCTCCTCCTTTCACTCTCTGTTTCCTGGCTGCTATGAGGCTAGCACTTATTCTTCCACCATGCCCCTGTGCCATGCCATCCTGCCTTAGGGCCAACCAACTGAAACATGAGCCAAAATAAACCTCGCCTAAGTTGCAGTGTCCAATATTTTGTCCCTGTGATGAGGAAAGTATCCAAGACACCAGACAACCTAATCTTACACCACCATTTCCTCTGTGGAGCCCTTAGCCTCTGAGCTATTATCCACCTGCCCTCATCACCCCTGGACCAGATACCAGACAACCAAGGAGAGGCCCTTGGCCCCAGAGCTGCTGAAATTATTCAAGCCAGCAATCCTGAGCTTGCTCACCCGGCCTCTCCTGTTCCTTCCTGTAAAAACCACTACAAGGCTCCCACGCACACTTCCCCCTTCTTCCCCCTTCTTCCTCGGCTTCCTGACTGACCCAGGGCTCTCCTATGTGGCTGCTATGGCGTGGTATGCCAGTTGTCACCTGATCTGTTGACCCTCCAGGCCTGAATAATAGCACCTGTATGAAACACGACCCAAGCTTCCCTCCGCCAAGTTGGTTCACTTCACAGGGCCAAGCCCTGGCTTCCCTTCCCTGCCAAGTCTGTTATCTCCTGAGCCTGCAGAATTAGCAGCAACCTCACCACCAGGAGCCAGCAGGCCTAACCCAGCCCAGTCACTTGTCTCCTGCACCAGTCACTTGGTGGCACGCCCACATTCTGAGGAGCATGAGCCACACCCGAGCCACACCCCATGGGTGACCCTGGAGAGGTACCATGCAGTCTGTACCTCAGTTTCCCCAGTGATGCTCACACTGCCTTCCTCAAGGGATGATGACAGCAGACACAATGCAGCGGGCAGCTGTGGGCGGCATCAGCCATCAAACTGACCACCACCCCTCCCTCCCACAGTACAAGGAGGGACACTGGGCTCAGATCATCCTGCAACCTGTCATTTGGGTCTGGTCTGACCTTCCCCAGCAGGCTCCGCCCCAGGATCCTCCCCTAGTGAGGAGGAGACTGTATGCTTCCCTCTTGAGAACCAGGGATAGGTGGAGCCCACCACGGACCTCAAGCCCTCCCATGGGGCGGGGCGAGGAGGGGAGGCCTACCTGGGCAGGGCTGGCATCCTCATCAGCCCTCGAGGGCTTGTTCTCTGAGTCAGGCTCCTCACCCATGTCACTGTCGGCCTCTTCCCGTGGGGCATCCTGTGGGACCTGGCTGCCCATAGCTGTCTCAGGGTGCAGCCCCAGGCCGGCAGGGCCCAGGGAGGCCTCACCACTGTCTTCACAGGGGAAGTTCTCGCCGGCTACGCTGGCGGATGGACTGTCGATCCCACTGTCCCGGTTGGGGATCTTCATGCAGCTTGGAGCCCCCAGGGGGCCCGTGTCTGAGCGGCTGTCCTCTGCTGGGGCAGGGCTTTCAGCATTTCCTTGGTGGGCACCAGGCCCAATAGGAAGAGCTCGCAGCTTCCCCAGCGGGGAGCTGCCAGGCCCAGCATTGGGTTCCCCTAGAGGAGAAGCACCTTCTCGGGGTGCTGAGGACCCTCCACTGGACTCCATCCTCAAAGCCGAAATCACTGGGCTCTGTTCGAGACGGGCTGGGGGCTTCCTGTGAGGGAGAAACAAGACCAGCTCAATGCAGCTCCCTAAAACCACCTGTTACAGTTTATATCTAAATGTCCCCCAAGAGCCCTATCCCTCATAGGTGGGGCTTTTGGGAAGTGATTGGATGGTGGAGGGCGCCGCTGTGGGTGTGGCCTCTCTCCTCTCTACCCTTCCGGCCTGCTTTTCCATGGACTGTTTCTCCTCAGTTGTTTTGCTCTGCTATGCCACCCTGCCTTGGAACCAGCTGACTGTGGACTTAAACCTCTACAAACTGTGAGCCAAAAGAGCCCTTTCTTCCTTTAACTTGTGGGTGTTGGGTATTTTGTCTCAGCAGTGAGAAATTAATTTAAGACACCACCACCAAAGAAAGTCTAGGGGAGGCAGGCTGGGGCTGTGCTCACAATCTCAGCACCCAGGTCAGTTTTAGCTGGGTCCTAGCTAAACGCTTTCAGAGAATGGCAAATGTTTTATTTTAAAAATAAATTTTGCTGGGCATGGAGGTGCACACCTGTAATCTCAGTGCTTGGAAGGCTAAGGCAGGAGGATTATGAGTTCAGGGCCAGCCTAGGCAATGTAGCAAGAACTTGTCTCAAAAACAGCCTCTATATTAAAAGAAGGAGGAGGAGGAAGAAGAGGAGAAGGGAAAGGAGGAGGAGGGGGAGGGGGAGGGCGAAGAAGGGGGAGAAGAGGAAGAGGAGAAAGGTAATCCTGTGGAACAGTGTGAGGCTACTTACTGCTCGTGAATTCAAAATATATGTACAAAATAATAATAACAACCATGAGGAGCACTGGGGTTTCTATTTGTAACATATCTTTCCCACCTGCAATATTTCTAGGAGGTGAGGCTGGGGACTCAGGATGCCAGGCCTCTTCCTCCTCACCATCACCATGGCCCATTGGACAGCAACAGGAACAGCTGCAGAGCCCACCGGCCGAGACTGTCCCACTGTCTCCCTGGGGTGCACCTGGTCAGCAGGTGGTCTTGCCCAAAGCCAGAGACCGAGACCCTTGCTTCCAAATCCCGTCTCCAAGGCTCCGGAGCCACTTTGCACTTGAGCACCAGCCTCTCCTGGCACCCTCCATGGGAGCCAGATCCAAGTGTCAAGTCTTTCTTTTTCTTTCTTCCTTTAGAGTCTTGCCATGTAGTTCAGGCTGGCTTTGAACTCACTCTGGAGTCCAGGCTGGTCTCAAACTTGTGGTGATCCTCCTGACTCCTCCTGACTGCTGGGATTACAGGCGTGTGCCACCACATCTGATTCTGTTGTTGATCCTCGGTGCCCAAGGAATTCAAAAATGAGACTGGACCACAGGGAGGTGGACAGTCTCCAAAATGGTCTTTTAAAAAAATTTATTTATTTGCTTGTTTGTTTATTTATTTTTTAATATACTGGGTTGAACCTACGGCCTTCACAACTGTGCTATATCCCTAAGCTTTTTTTTAATTTTATTCTGAGCTAAATTTGAAAATACATATTTTTTATTTTCTCACTAAGTTGCTCAGGCTGGACTTGAACTTATGATCTTTCTGCCTCAGCTTCCAAGAGTGCTAGGACCATAGCATGCTTGAGATCGTGTTCTCGACCCCAACGTGCTGCTGCAGAGGAACCAAGAGGCAGCAGACAGTAGTCACTTACCGTCACCCGATGCAGTCCCCCTCTCCAGTGGTGGGTGCTGAGGGTTGACAGCCAGGTGCCAGTTTTTTTCTGTGCTCTGGGGTTGGCCGGTCGCACCTGGAGGGATCCTCTGAGACTCTCTTGTCCAGCAGGTTTGCAGGGGGCTGTTTAGGAGGCCCTGGAGAAACAGCAGAAGAGAACGAAAAGCACTTCCTCCAACTGTCTTCAGAGCAGGCAAGGCTGCAGTGCTGAAGGGAGGGGAGGAGGGCCGCATGGAGCCCCACCCAGTGCGTCCAACCACAGGCAGGACATAGGCATCTTCAGATGGACGGAGAACACAGCTCAGCCCGTCCTGGGCTCTGAGGCGATACATGCAGCCTGAGAAGAGCAAGCAGTACCAGTGGCCATGCCCCCTCGGTGAGCAGAGCCCCACAGCCAGGAAGGAAGGGTCACCGCAGAAGTGTGGGAAGCTCCCGACTTGAGGGGAGCGGAGGTGCCTCACAGCCCACACCCACACCCTCACCGGGACACACACACAACTCCCTGGCACATTTACACCCACACATACACGCTTACATTGGCTCACACACACACTCACAGGAAGTCTTCTGCCGGCCGAGACTTTGCGTGTCCCCTTCCTTACTGCTAGGCACTATAAAGAACTATCTTGGCGGAAGCCGGCTTTGAACACTCACAGGCACAAGCAGGAACTGTCTGTCTCAGGGCCTGCCCCTGGCTGCCTCCCCCCCAGGGCAGAGGGCTGCTCCCTCGGGATCCCCAGAGGCTCTGTTGTGGGCAGGCCCCTGGGCAGAGCTCCTCCGGGCCACTGGGCTCGTCCTGAGCACTTCCCGAGGGAAAAGTACCTTTGAGTAGACCTTTCTTTCAATGACGCCACACTCATTTCAGGGAGACGTTTATCACTGGCTGCCATCACATTCTTAACAAACTCAGTGGAAAGAAATATTAAGATTTCCAAACAGAAAATACATGTTTTGCAGCATTCTTAAGTTAGCATGGGAGATACACTCAAATTTCTAGAAGACATGGGGTGAAATGTGAGCCGAGCTCAGCCTTGGCTTGTGCAGAGGCTGCTGTCTGGTGGGGCAGAGCCTGGCTCAGCCCCAGCTCAGCAAGACTCACCAGAAACCTCATTTATTCTCACCTGAGACAATGCAGAAAGGATGAGACTGCACACCAGAAAAGCAAGAGTTTGCAAGAGGCTATATGCCGGACAGCAAAGCCACAAGATCCTTGAGAGAAGGGAACAAAGGGAGTAAGCCTTCCTGTTGCCCTGGCTCACTGCCTAGAGACCATTTCTGGGCCAAGGAGCAGGGAACGGGGTTCTTGGGGGGGCTATTCAAATTGAGAAGATGCAGATGACAGTTTGGGAGACCAAGGGAGATAGAGCTTTGGAGGGGAGAGGTCTGCACAGAGGAGGAATCCAGAGACCTTCAGAGGACCTCCCAGGACCGCTCAGCATGCATATGAGGACAGGCTGGATGGAGAACCACCTGAGAGCATCAGAGGGAGCGATCCACAGAGACCTTTGCTCCGCTCTCACCTAACGAATCTTAAGGAAGGTCAAGCTGATTACTGCATCCCACCCAAAAAACTCAGATACTTACAGGAATGAAAAACTGTCCAGCACCCAGCAAGGTACATGACCTAATGACTAACATCCAGGGATTATACAACCCATAATGGGGGGGAGCCAAAACCTCAGTTATTGAAACTAACGTGTAACTACACAGATATAGCAGGAAGAAACATTAGAATAGCTATTCTGCCTGGATTTGAATGATGAGAAGAATGGCTTCAGACCAGAGGCCACTGCTGACCCTGCTCAGCTTCACCCGGGGTTAATTTGGTGGCTTTACATCCAAACCCCATCAAGGCCATATAAACAATGAGCAAGGCCCAGAGCACCTTGGCCATGGCCAGGCAGGAGGACCAACAGCCGGTCAAATTAACACCACCTTGTGACCCCGAGATGACTGGAAGCACTGAGCACTCGCCTTGGGGTCTCAGGCTGGGGGATGCTTTGGCACCTGCTGATGTGGCCAGGAGTCTCTGGCTTCTCCACTGAGAACAAAGTGGAGTGTTTCATGCCTTGAAATTGGGGTAGGGGTCAGTGGGACCTCAGAGCAGCCTAAGGGAATGAGGACAAGCTGAGTGGGCAGAAAAGGAGACAGTTAACATTGTATCTGCCTTTCTGCTTGGACATCACAGTCAGATACTTGCAAATTCAGCTCACACTACCACCTCTAAAGTCATTTGTCCTGTTTAAAACTATTAGTGTTCTATCGTCTGGATGCGTTAAATGCTTGGTCCTCCAGGTAATGAATCCTTCAGGATGCAGGGCCTAATGAGAGGTCTTTAGGTCACTGCAGGTGTGTCTTTGAAATGGAGATGGGATCCTGGCCCCTTTCTCTGCCTCTCTTTTATATCCCACCCATGAGTGATCAGTTGTGTCCCTCCACATGCTCCTACCCTGTGTTTCCTTGCCACAGGCCCAAACCAATGCAGCCTATGGATCATGGATGGAAATCTCCAAATCTGTGAGGAAAAATAACCTTTTTCTCTTTATAATTATCTCAGGTATTTTGTTACAGTGCCAGAAAGCTGACTAACACAGAGTTCTTTTTTTAGAAAACTTCAAAATTGTGGAAAAACAAAAAGCAGTAACACGACCTGTCACCCTTACGCCTTGTGCCTGTAGACTGGTTGGGCAGGCTGGATGTGGGATAGGGGTGGAAGTGTCTAATTCTCCCAGGCATGCTGCAGCTTCTCTTAGAGCAGCTATGTTTTCTCCATCAGCAGTTCCCAGTGTAAGCCTACTGTGTCCTCAAGAACATGGGTCTCCCAAAAGAATTGACTTTTTTTTGGTACCAGGAATCAAACTCAGGACCTTATGCTTGCCAGGCAGGCACTGTGCCTCCGAGCTATATCCCCAGTCCCAAGAATTCAAAGTAAGGTCTCAAACAGGTACTGATAACACCCAGGTTCCCAGCAGCAGTGTTCGTAATAACCACAATGCGGGTGCTTCTCAAGTATCCCCATGAGTGAATGGTGTTACAAACTGAATCTGGAGAGTCCCCTAAAGACCCTTATGTTAAAGGTTCGTATCAGCCCTGGCCTACTGGGAGGCGGTAGAACATTGAAGGGGTGGGGCCTAGGGGGAGAAGTTATCGGGGTGTGCCTGGAGGGGATATTGGAACCCCAGCCCCTTGTTGTTGCTTTCTTTGCTTCCTGGCCACCATGAGGTGAAACATGTCTTCCATGCAAGTCTCTGAAACTATGGGCACAGAGAAACCTTTCCTGCTTATAAGTTAATTTATCTCAGGCATTTGTTACAGCAACAGAAACTAACACAAATGGATAAGCAACAGAGGGTCTAGCCACAGAGTGGGGCATATTTAGCCCTAAAAAGGAAGGAAATGCTGACACCTGCCTCAGCATGGACGAATCTTGAAGACCTTATACTGAGTGATATAAGTCAGTCATGAAATGACAAATTCTGTATTGTTTCACTTATAGGAGATCCCCAGTGGGGTCAGATTCACAATGGTAGAATGGCGGCTGCCAGGGCTGAGGGAGAAGGCAATGCGGAGTTACTGGTAATGGGCATAGACAGGGTTTCTATTAGGAAGATGAAAAGGTTCTGCAGTCACAGCAAGATGACAGCTGATCACCCAAACTTCTGACCGTGCAGGGTACCCAGGGCCGCATTCTCACGTGTCTACCTGTAGCACACGGCCCCCAGAGAAAGCGACCATGCAGGGGCGGTCACCAGCCCCTCTCTAGGCCTCAGCTCAGAGTCCTGACCACTGTGTCACTGCCCTCTTTCCCCACGATCCCCCTGCAGGGTCGTGGCAGGCTGTGCAGCCCCCATCCTGTCCCCTGGGAAGACGCTAGGGGCAGTGCACATGTTCACAGCATAGGAGTGCAGTCCTGGTGGCCCTGGTGTCATTCGAGGCCCTGTGAGTGACCGAGAGGAAGTGTAGGAATGATTTTCTCGTGGGTTACATATGTGAGACCAAAGACCCCTCGTTGAGTGGCAAACCCAGAGTGAAGGAGGGGAGGGCTGGAGCTCCCCACCCACCCGGGAGGGTTAACCGGAGGTTCCCACAGTCCCAGCCTAGGAGGAGGTCCTGGCCAGACTCCTCCCTGCTCAGCCCCAGGCCTAACCCTTGGGAGCTCCCTGGAGACTAACAGCCCCCGTGGACTGGCTGTGGTCTGGCAGACTCAAACTTGAAGGCAGTATGGACACAGTGGACCCCAAGCACTTGCATCTAGCATGACCCTATTTCTACCCCGGACTGTCCAGACCACCAAGGAGAAACTTAACACCCTCTAGCCTTAGTTCCCCTGTCTGTAAAAAGAACATAGTTGTAGTTCTACAAAGATTCCCAGAGCCTGCAGCAGTGATAAATATGAGCAGGATACCTCATCCATCTGATAGCTGCCTGGGGCCTGAGCAGTGGGGCCCAAGCTTGTTGGCATCAGGAACAGGTACGGGTTGTGAGGGGGGATAGGGATGAGGAGGGTTTCTGGGGTGATTCAAAGGAGCTTAAAACCTAGATCCCTGGAACACCAGTTTGCACTCTGTCACACTGGAGGGCTCTATGTCCAGCAGGACACGGAAAATCAAGGGGCAGTCACAGTACTGATGATTTTTGCTCTAGGTTGGGTTAGCAGAAACTCACAGATAGCAACCTCAGGAATGCATGGGCATCAGCGCACAGAGCTATAGCAAGAAGTGCTAGCACCTTACAGGCAGGACCACCTCTCACACAGCGCTGTTACATCTGGGAAGCAAAACAGTGTTACCATTTCTACTTAATCTTTTCACTTATAAGTTTAGTGGATTTTTTTTTTTTTTTTTTTTTTTGAGATAGAGTATCACTATGTTGTTCAGGCTGGCTTCTACCTGCTGAGCTCAAGTGATCCTCCTGCCTCAGCCTCCCTAGTATCTATGGCCACAGGCATGTGTCACCATGCCTGGCTTTGTTTACTTAATATTTTCTGTTTGCTTTCTATTTTTCTTTTCTTTTTTTGTTTGTTTGTTTTTTCCAGTACTGGGGATCAAACTCACAACCTTGTGCTTGCCAGGCAGGTCTATGCCGCTGAGCTAAATCCCCAACCCCCTATTTTTCTGTTCTGCCTTTACACTTTCTAAATTGATTTATTTTTGTCTACTTCTTTCCTATTTTGTTTTCACTTTTATTTCTTTCACCAAGAAGGAACACAAACATAGAGTCATGATGAAACATCACTGTTTGTTGTTAGGCATAAAAAGCAATTTAAAAAACTTCAATCTTTAAAATAAAACAGACTCCTTCCCTGCACAACAGCTGGGTGTGCAGTGAAGCCGGGAGGACCTTGGGGTGGCTGCACAGGTGCTCACTGTGACCTGACTTGAGCCTGGAGGCTCCTTTGGAAGACTTTCTAATAAAGTACTAGGAGAAAACACTTTAATCTGCAGCTCTAAGATCCTCAGGCTGCTATTGAGAAAGAATCTCTGAGCCCAGGCTCACCCTCACCCCAACGAGCGCCCTGGGTTCATTATAGAATTCTTCCCACTTTTGATTATGTCTGACATTATCTGTTTTTAAAAATGATAAAACAAAACAAATAGACAAGAACTTCTTGTTGAAACTTCCACATCACTGTCCACTCCCACCTCTCCCTCCACCTCCCTCCCTTGCTCTGTCTTTCTCCCAGGAGCCACTTAGGCCCTTTGCACAGCCCTTCCCTCTGCACTCCCCGCCCTACCCAGCTCTCTTTCCAGGCAGGCCTTCCCTAGAGTACGGTACACGCCCTCCGTTCTCTCTGCTCTGCTCTCCTCCCTCCCCAGGCCCTTCACCTTGACCTTACCCAGACCTCCCGCCCCCACTTCCTGCTTTTAGGCTCCTCCCCCCCGTTAAAGGACAAAGGAGGCACATCTCTTCCTGTTACCCGGGCCTCAGTATTGTTGGTGAGTTAAGTAAATGAATGAACTTGAATCTGTCTTGCAAGGAATTTTTACATCCTTTGTAATGTGTGCTTTCACATAAACAAAAATGTGCCTTGATCAAGTCCAAATTTTGAAAATATAAAATCCAAATTGAAATCATGGAATCTCAAATCCCACCACCAAAGCAGTCCTCAAGAGGTCTGTCCCATCACATCACTTTATCTAACAGCAGGTGACAACAGCATGTGACAATTTGAGGTGACAACTGAGTCCGGAAGGCCCAGATAGCAAACTGACATTGCCAGTTCACCCACACTCACACCTCTCAAGAAATAAATGAGGGAGACCCCCAAGATCCTGCGCAGTTATAGAGGTCCATCCTCAGACCCAACACAGAGCCAAAGTGAGGCCGCTCCACCTCACAGGACCTGGGGGACCAGGCCACCCCACCTGGCAGGACCTGAGTGTTCACTCCTCCTTCATCTCTCAGTGGGCTCAGACCAAGGGAAAGGCAGCAGGAGGTGCACGAAGAGGGGCAGAGGGAGGGGACAGGCATGTGGACTACAGCTTCCTAGGTGGAAGCCCCCAGAGGGAGGGCCAGGATGGATCTCCAGCGGCCAGCAGCCAGGAAGGTGAGTCCCATTTTGGTTTTAAAGGAAAGTGAGGAGGAAGCCACCCAGACTACCTGTTGGCCATGGCAGAGGAAGCTGTCCTAGTGTCTGAGTCAGGGCCCTGAGGGAAGAGAAAATGCAGAGAGACCAAGGGTTTGCCTCCCCGACAGGGTGTGTCCCTGGTCATGGTCCTGTCAGGAGGCTGCCCCCTTTCACGCCCGGTCTGCTTCCACCCCTTTCCTTGCTGCCTGCACATACCCATCCGGGGCTGGCCTTCAGCCCGTCTCTCGCACAGGACACTGGCTTCTTCGTCACCTACAGAACCCACAAATATCTGCAGAGCCACGGCTCCAACACCCAGCAGGAAATGTCAGCGGTGGATGAAGGGCACCCTCATCTCTTGTTTTCTTCCTGGACTGGCTTGGCCCCTAGCCGCTGTCAGTCACCGTGTCCGGGGCCAGGCAGGGACAGGCTGTCACTTCAGTCACCAGTTCTGTTCTTTCTTATGTCCTTGTTCATTGTTTTCAGCACATGCTCATCCTTGAATCTCTCTGGAACCACTGACATCCCATAGACCTATTCTCAGCCAGTTACTCATCTGCCCAGCACTGCATCTGACCCCCGTACCCACTCCCTTCACCAAGGAGCCTCGGTTTTCTCATCTATAAATAGGGATCGTTATGGTCCCAGCTGGAGCAGTGGAAGCTCCTATCATGAAATTCCCAAGGTCACATTCTTGCCCATGGACCACCCTCAGGAACACATGGCAGCAGAGGCAGGCATGGCCTCAGGCTCTTGAACAGTGGTGAGGCCTCTCAGACTAAGCCATTTCCACTCTAACCTCAGAACAACTTGGGGCACCACTCCCTTGCAGAGGATGCAGGCCAGCACTCTCTGAGGGTCCCTGCACAATCAGGATATAAGCAGACACGAGCATCAGAGCCCCCACCCCCAAGAGCGGAACCCAGGCCTCTGGCTGCCTGCAACCCCCGGCTGGGACAAACCACTTCCTCCCATAGTGGCCCCACCCGACCCCTAGGCCGCTGTGCAAGTCCGCTGCGCAAGTCCGCTGCTCAGAAATGGAGAGTAGGGGGTGGTGGACAAATAGGACTGAGGGGGGAAGGCTGGGGCAAGCTGGCAGAAGTCCTTTGCCTCTGTTTCCTCTCCTGCAAGAATAACTGGCAAGCCAGGCGTAGTGGCGCATGCCTGTAATCCCAGCACTTGGGAGGCTGAGGCAGGAGGATCGTTGTGAGTTCAAGGCCAGCCTGGGCTACAAAGTGAGCTCAAGGCCAGCCTGAACTGCATAGCAAGACACTGTCTCAAAAAGACCAAAAAGAAACAAAAAAAAAAAAGGATAACTGGCAAAGGCCACTCACCAACCCCAGAAAAAGGACAGGACCAACCTTCTCCACCTCCCTCACTCCACCCTTCCCTTTACTCCCATCCCTCACCCCCTGGCAAATCCCGCAAGGCCCAGAGCCCAGCATACCTCTGCACAAAAGCACAAGTATCAGATTGTACAGCCACTGCTACTGTGACCCTGCCCTCAGAGTCATAGGGAGTGGGACAACCCAGACCCTGAGGAATATGTCTGGGACTACTTCCTCAGCTCAGGCAGAGGAAGACTTGCATTTTCCCCAAGCCTGGGCGACCTGAGAAGGGCCTGGGCCCAGCATGGAGTCAGCCCTACGTGAGGTCATTCTGGACCTGTGCCCCTCTAGGCTTTCTGGGGGGTGTAGGAGTCACTCTCCATCATATGAGTCTGAGCTGCCCCCTGACAACAGCCAGCACTGTCCAGCGCTCCACAGTTTACAAAAGCTTCTCACCCTTCCAGTTTAGTGCTCACGATAACGCTGACCTTTCAGCAATAATGCCAGAGGAGCTTACAGAAAGACAGACAACAGGATGATACAAGGTACCACTCCACACCGCGGGCAGCTTCCTGTCTTGAAAACATCCGTCTCCCTCAAATAACTCCTGCTCTGCTTCAAGAACCCCCACCCTCCCAAAGTCCCCCTCCCAAAACCAGACAGTCAGGCTCTGCAAGAATCCTAGGAGCTAATCTCCACTCACTGTTTTCTGGCCAGCCAGCGTATATCTCCTCCAGGGCTGAGCCTCACTCGACAGCAAAACACAACTTCCTTTTTCTCATTTTCACAATATGGGTCACAAAACGATGGCGTATTTGCATTTCCGTGCCATTACGCAGCGTGAGAGGAGTTTGGCTTGTGGCTGTGCAGGGGCCTCTCTTGCAGGGTGGAGGGGGTGACCTCAAAAATGTAGTCCTCAGCCACAGCCACAGCAGGCCCCTGGCGCAGCGGCAGCTGCCTGGGCTGGGTTCAAGTTTAACAGGCTACTCTCAGGGGCCCAGGGCACTCTGGGCAAGGACCCCCACGACCAGCCTCCCCTTGCTTTGGTGGACTTCTCTGAGTAGACCTGTGCAACAGCGATCTTCAGAGAGGCAGCGTCTGCAGAGGCTGGCCTAGACCAGATAGGCTCACAAGTCCCGGCAGTCTTGCTCAGACCTCAATGGGTGGAAACAGTGAAATGGCCACAGAAGGCTGGAAAGTGGAGAGGCCCTGCCACAAACACATTACTTCGAGGTATCCCAGGGGACCTAGGCAAAACCCCAGGCGACCAGGCTCATGAGGACTGCTCTAGTGGCACCCAACACCCCGACCCTCTAACCAGGCCCTCCAGAAGGCTCCCTCCTTGTTTTAGGGAGAGAGTCAATAAATAATGACATGCAGTCCTAAAAGACTGGTCCTGAAAAGTCTGACTCAGTAATAATAATGCCTTTTTAATCCAGCCCTAAATAATAATAATAATTTTTAAAAAAGAAAACCAAGCAATTTCTGTGGGTCTTTCTCCTCTTTGTCATGGGGGGAGTGATAGTCCCTGGCAGAGGCATGAGGAACTCCCCAAAGCAGCCACCATGACAGCACTAGCACCAGCATTAGAGACAGGGAAAATGTCATGCAGGTGTGAGACAAACTAAAATCACTGGGGATAGTGATGTAGCTCAGTGGTAGAGCACTTGCTTAGCGTGCACAAGGGCCTGGTTTAGATACCCAGCAAAAAATAAAATAAAATAAAGCTGCAGGGGCAGAAAGCGACAAAGGGAGCACAGGACGATTTCTGCAACCCACAGTGACTTCCCTGAGCACTTCCACAAAGTGTGAGGCAGAGGCTTACTCCGTGAGTTCCCAAATGATGTCTATTCCAGCTGAAAATGGGGTCTCACTCCCCAGCTCAGCTCCTGGTGCTAGTTTGGGGGATACCACACCTTTTGCTTTCCAAGTGTCCTTTCATTTAGAACATGAAAATTGGAAGCGTGCTACAGTGGCTCAGTGATGGAGCACGCATTCATGGCAGAGAGGGCCATGTTGTACTGACCCTGGAGCCTCAGCATGGAACTCTCAGACACACTGATACATCCCCCTCCAGGACGCTGCAGGCCTAGTGATGCTGAGGTTGTTCCCAAGTTCCTCCTGGCCCTGCTGGGCACCCATCTGAGGATACAGCGCTGCTATGTCCAGCAGTGACAGGGACGGGTGGCTGGGATCTCAGAAGGCTAATGCCTGGCTCACAGGTGGCGTGACCGTGAGCACACCACAGAGCTTCTCAGAGGTTCAACTGTTCCTCCTTAAAATGGAGAAAACATGGGCCGCATTTGGTGGGGTGGTGAGGAGCAAGAGCCTAGCCTGTGGCAGGTGCTCAGGAACTGTCAGCGGCTGTCATCTAAACTGCCAGTGCTATGCTGTCCTGGGCTTGGCCTTGAAGTCTTAACTTCTCTTTCTCATGTTTCCAGCCCAGGCCAGGAAGGAGGTGGGCCTGCCTCGACTGCTCAGAACACCATCCCCCCTGCTGATACATCCTGAGGTAGAAGGCCGGCAGCAGGATCCTATCAGGACTGGAGACATAGGCCCAGGCCCACCAGGAGCACAGAACTGGCCTAAGGAAGTCAGGATGAACACTGTCAACAAGCACGTTGGCAGGTCACATGTGAGATATGAAAGGTCAGGGTCGTGGCAGGTGACTGACTAAAAAAGAGTGGGAGGGGATCAGTGACTCAAAAGCTGAACCAAGGCAAAGCATCTCTTCCTCTCCAAACGGGGTGGGAGAAGGAAGGGGTGCCTCCACCTGGGGGCGACACCACCTACAAAGGACCCCATAGTGGCCCATGCTCTCATGTAGCCCCTCCCACCACCAATAAGGCTGACCTGTGGAAACTAGAAATGACGAGGATGACTTCCAAGACCAGATCCAACACGACACTGAGCTTTGGGCTTCCCCTCCTAGATGGTGCCCTCAGGGGGACGAACAGCCACCCCGTGCTGAGGACCCTCAGGCAGCCCTGAGGAGAAGGGAGGGTCTGAGTCCCCTGGCCACCAGCCATGAACAAGTCACCTTGGACGTGGCTTCTTGGCCTCAGTCAGGACTTCAGACAAGTCTGGCCACCATCTGACTGCAATCCCACAAGAGACCTGGGGCAGAGACAAATCACCCACATTCCTGAGCCAGCAAACTGAGTATCTACTGTGGCTTTAAACTACTAAGTTTGGGGTGATTTGTTACACAGCAATAGCTAAATGGTAAGTATTTTCATCAGGAAAAAGAACAAGGGGCGACCTGAGATTGAAAAAAGGAAGGATCAGCCCTGAGCACAGCGTCCACCAGGAAGTAAGAGCATACAGTACTTCCTGTTTCTGTTTGTTTCATCAGTGTCCTGAAGGGCCCTCAACCTTCAGGGCTCCTGGTGACCACAGAAGACTCCTGCGGGGTCATGGGGAAGGTGCATTTGTGCCGAAAATTCTCAAGGATCCTAAATAATTTCCCAGATCACAGACCCTTCAGAGGAAAGCCATAGGCCTCTCTTTGTCCCCTCAGCTTGCTCCCCAGGGACATGCTTCTACCCCGCCCCCACAAGCAGCTTTCTGCAAGGAGGGCAGTTCTAATGAGGGAGGTGGTCATCCGGGCCCTTGGTTTGTCCAAGGAACACCCCTAGCCCTGCCTAACAGGAAAGCCTCAATGACTTGGGGGAGCCCAGGATTCTGGCCCAGGCTCAGGGCAAAGGTCAATGAGGTCTAAAGATGTGGTTACAGAGAGGCCAGGATGGAGAGAGCTGGAGGGCAGAGACCTGTCAACTAGGGGAAAGCATCCATTTTGCAGGAGACAGTGCCCTGGGGCTGGGGTGCAGCGTTCACTCACTAGGAGGAAGTCTGCAACTGAGTTTAACAGAAATCAGATGCCTTTGCACAGTCAGTTAACAGCCATTTGCGGGGTACCTACCAGATACAGAAGAACATACAGCAGGCTCTCAAGGCAGTTCCCGCAGGAAACTCACAGTGGTCCCATGTCTGTATTCCTCTGGAGCAAGACTGAGTGGCCCTGTGTCTCCTTTTTAGCGTGACAGCAAGTTACTCCATCCACAGGACCCAGCGCTCAGAGTCGAGCTGCTTCTGCGATCACCGTCCTATTTGCATGGAACTGACAGCCACAAGTCCCACGTCCTTCCTAGAACCCTTCAGTCTCCAAACATGAGACAAAAGGTCTAAATTATTCTTGTCTTTTCATCAAGACAAGGGAAATAGCAGGGCAGGAAAGGGGTGGGGACGTTGGCGGTT